CTATTCCTTGTGCCCACCGCAACTTCATGTTCCTCGTCCATGTCCCTCCAAAGAAATCCTGCCAGAAGTCCGACCCTTGCATTCCTGCGTGCATTCATCACCTCAGCCATGCCGTCCGAGCCACATTTGGATCCATTCGAGTCTTCAGACGATGACGGTCAATTGCTGGCTGCGCGAGGGCACAGTGAATTGAGCTGAGCCCATCTGCCTGTACTTGATGCCCGACAGGATCTCTGGTACAATAAAACGTACATACCCTGAACGCGGACACATTCACCTCCGCACCTCCACGACAATCCAGGATAAAGGTGATCCCGGAGTGAACTTAACGAGCCGGCGTATGTGACGTCTGATGGCTGACCATACCAAATCTCCAAAATATGCGACCGTTTTGATGGATGCACGATGGGATGCTGAGCCTGAGAGGAGGACGGTGAGGCCACAACCAGAAGCTATTGAGCTGCGCAAGCGGTGCAGTCTCGAGCTGCCGCACGATCGCCCCAATCGAAACAGACTTCCTTGTGCCCACCAGTGCGACGTGGCTAGACCGTGAGGGACGAAACTTGATTTGAACATGGGTGCAAGTGCGCGTGCACCTCTGCCCTGCAGGCATGGCAACTGACTGCTGAGCGCGTCGTTCTCCAGGCAGAATGACCGTCGTGATGACAGGAATGACCTGCGGCGGACCGTTGTAATCGCGAGGCTTGATCGAGATCTTCGGCGATTAACGTGAACACGAATATTGACCGTGGGCGGCCGTTGTGAGTGGGAGTGTCGAGCTCTGATGACCGTTGTATGAGCAGGGATCGAGACAAGGATGTTAAGGGTTGTGACTGTAGATCACAGGCCAGTATGCAGAAGACCATGTAGATCTTCACGCATGGCCACCGTGCTGTTGAACGCGAGCTGGAGGACAGGCAACGTGTGTAGTACGGTCCACGAAGAGGCATGTGCATGACGTCGAAGTTATGAGTTCATCGTGAGCGTACTTGCATATCGCCTTGGTGCTGGAGGAAGGCGCGCCTGGACATTGCGCATCTTGCCTTTATTGGACTGCTTGAGGTTATGGCGTACGCGCTGTTGCTTTGGCATACATTTCAGGGACAGGACTTCGAGTCTTCCCGGATTGTCATGCATCATCCTCTAAAGCAAGGAAGTATACAGTTAGCACGTACCCCGCAGACCTTGGACTTGGCACATACAAGTTTCTGACATAATGATACCACATCCGCACATCGTGTATACTTAGCATGCTGGCATAGGCAGCGTAAGATTCTCCAGATCAAGTCACAGGAATGGGGGCCTCTGGCAGGCTGTACACGTAGCGGTCGCCACTTCAAGAGCTATGGGAGCCTCTGTCATGGACCTCATCACAGCAGATGCTTGTCGTTGAGGGATGCAGTTGAGCTAGCACATTGCAACGTGATCGCGAGTGATCAGTTCATGTTCTTGATTCTTGAGGCTGCGAATAGGAGAATCAGCATACGTTACGCATTGTGTGATGGAATTCATCTTACAATGGTTCGGATTCTCCGCTCTCCAAAGCACAGCGTTGCCATCTTGACTGGCGATGCGATCCTGATGGGCAAGGAAATTTAAATGATATAGGAACCTGGCTTTCACGTTACTCACCTTCATACGGCAGGCTCCACACAGCCCGATAATCCCGCATCGTCCAATCACTTGTCTCGACCTGTGCAATTGTGCGCAGCGCATCTGAATCAGTCCAGGGTCTGGGAGACCAATGACGAGGTATTGCTTACCTTGTGTACTACACTCATTTCTACCCCGCTACCTTGATCCTTCCCTCTGTGACCGTCTCGAATAATGAATTGATCCTGCGCTAATCTCAGCGTCACGGTGACATGAGAATCTTGACTTCACAACCTACCTTGGACTCGACGGAACCCGAGGACAATAACCGGAGCAGTCTTCTAAGCTGCTTCCTAAATTTCTATGCTGTAGGCCACAGCGTGGGTGAGAAGAACAGGCG